TACTTTAATCTGAATCAAACAACTCAAAATTTTTAAAAAATCGTCAAAGACCCATTTTCCTAGACCATGACCCAAATACTTAAGTAAATATTTATATAGCTGTATATATAGTATACAATAATTTTAATAAAAATATAAAATTTTCAAATAATAATAATTATTATTATTATTATAATACCAGAATATATATTTTAAAAATCTACTAGCTAGCCAACATCAGCACTAAATAAAAATGTTTAAAATCCCAAAAACCTAAAATATTTGGACCTCTATATTTAACCCTATCTTATTCTAAAATTGCACCCTAACTTTAAAATAATAATTATTATTATTAGACAAATATAATTACGCCGGTTTGTGTAACTTACAGACTTAAATGTAATGTAAATCATTGAGAATCCCCTTAACGTTTAAAACAAGTATGCAAAAATCCATGCATGTTTCACCACAAACGCTCGATTACATAAATATTTTATATATATGTTTGATTTTATATTTTCATACAACAAATATGACATATAATATATAAAGACAAAAAAATAATCATAATAAAATGTATAAATATGTATATATAGTGATAATTTGGCTTCAAAAATTGGTATAAACAAAATAAACCTAAATTCATATAAATATTGTATATTATAACTGTATAAGATCCTAATCCCATTACCATAAAAAAAAAGCCAATATTGTTGACAGAAACCAGTTCCGAAGTTCGTAAATTAGATTGCATTTCCTCATTAATTCCCGTCCCTGGTGATGGTTCTCTTTTACATAACGACATCTGCTGAACACAAGGAAATCAATATAAAATATAAAAATCCGAAAGATTTAAAAAATATTCTACATAAAAAATACAAAACAGTCGGTGCTTTTTTATACTAACTTCCTATTTTATTAAAGAGGAAGTAATAAAGCTAACTAGAATAATTTTTATTAAATATACATTACTGGTAAGAGCTCAATCCATCTTATCAAGATGCTCGTTGCTCCACCGGAATAGAAACTTCATTAACCAAAGATGACGATGAACCATGTAGATTCGAGTCATCATGATTACTTGCTCCTCCTTGGTCTGCCTGTTTTTGATAAGGATGATGATCTGGTATTTGTACAATCGAATAGTCACCATCACTAGAAATTTCGTCACTATTACTATTAGCATAGTTATTAGTCTGAGGTTGTGACTTTTGTGATTTGACAAGATTTTCGCAACGTTTCATAATATCTTTTGGTGTTAACCTCTCAGGATTATTGATTAGTTCTTGATCGCGTAAAGCAGCAGCCAAATCTTCAGGAACCTGTTGGCAAATAAGTGTTAATAAGGTTAGGATTATCAACGATCATCTCATTTTTTCTGTTTTCAGATGAATATATTTTAATTACAAAGCTTACCACCCAGAAATCGTCTTGATACTTCAATAAGCTATGAACTGCTTCGATTGCTAAAAATGAGTCATCCTTGATAGGATCCTTTGACTTTGAATATAAGATGTTAGGAGTAATTACTGTTGCAAGGTTATGTAAATCCATCTTACTACCCGTTTCTTCATCTACATGTGAAAAGGAAGCCACCCATTTGAAAAATATAAAAAGCACCTCCATTGTGTCACGATTAACCTTAGGTAGAAGACAACACGTTAAGTGAAGAGCTTTCTTTCGATCTGATTCATTTAGAAGTCCTGAATTATATATTTTTACATAGGATTAAATATTGGCATTTACTATGGACTGCATAAATAAAATAGTTCAAAACTCAAATTATACTTTGTGATACTATAAAAAGCTTGTGTAACTTGAAGGTAAGAAGTGGATCAGGCAAGTCACGAAGAAACTTTTTCATTAACGCGGCAACTTGAACTGGATTATCTTCGGAGAGATTAACTGATGAAGGATTTCTGTCAATGGCTTCGCTGAGATCCTTTAGACGTCGAATGTTGCCATTCTTACGGAATATGCCCTCAACAGACATGTCTATAAATGTTTGGCAATGAATTAATAACACAAAATAATAAATCATTCAAATATTCAAATGTATTAATTACCCATTGTTTTCATAGCTGATATGCTGTCGTCTATAAAACTAGGGGCTCTTATTCGACCAGGCCCTGCTCCTAGTACCGAGTCCACACCATATCTCTCAACTAGAACTTCTAGGGGCACACCAAACGTGCCTATTATTGATCATGTGCAATAATAGCATAGAAATAATTGAGATAAAAATATTGATAAGTGCGGAATTTTAAACAT